CTTATTTCTCTAATTTCTCTAATTTCTTTCATTTCTCTTATTTCTCTAATTTCTTATTTCTCTAATTTCTTTCATTTCTCTTATTTCTCTAATTTCTTATTTCTCTAATTTCTTTTATTTCTCTTATTTCTCTTTCTCTTATTTCCCTCATTTCCCTCGTTTCTCTCCTCTCCCTCAGTTCTTGCCCCTGAACCAGCCCTGGCACCGTGCCAGGCAGCGCTCCACGATCCCGGAGGTTCGGCTGTTCAGCCGGAACGAGGAGCAGGGGCCGGGATCCTTGGCCGTGTCCTCGCTGTCCCCAGATCCCGCCGTGCACGTCCCCTGGCCCGAGGGCTCCGTGACACCCGGGGACACCCCCGGCTCCGGGAGGGATGTGCAGGGATCCCCCCGGGAGGAGCGGGGATCGCCCGTTCCCACCCCACTGCAGGGCCCCTCCGGGCCGGGCTCCAGCACCTCGAGGGTGCAGGGCTCCCCCAGGGAGATGCTCTCCAGGCGGGTTCCGAGGGCCTGGGCCGTGCAGAGCTCGTCTGGAGAGAGGGGGATCCCGTCCGAGGGGCAGAGCTCCACGGCCAGGATGTTCTTCTGCAGGGGGAAGGTCAGCACGCACATCCCGGGGGTCTCGATGGTGCAGGGCTCCAGGGCTGAGCCTGGGAGCTTCACAGGAGGTGATTCCACACAGGTCCCAGGGGTGCAGAGCTCTGTGGGCTGGAAGGGGAATCCTGGAGTCATTAAGGTTGGAAAAGCCCTCCAAGGTCACCGAGTCCCCCCTGTGCCCCATCCCCACCTCGTCCCCCAGCCCAGAGCACTCAGTGCCACATCCTTGGACACCTCCAGGGGTGGGGACTCCCCCACCCTCCTGGGCACCCCCTTCCCGTGCCTGAGCACCCTTCCCAGGAGGGAATTCTTCCCCGTGTCCAGCCCCAACCTCCAGGAGAGTGCCAAGGAAGCACCACAGGGCACCCACACCTGAACCCACACCTGAACCCACACCTGAGGGCAAAGCTCTGCCCCTGGCAGGGGCAAGGACCCACCTGGGAGGTGAGCTGGGGGCAGGAGGGGGTGCCCAGGGCAGGGTCCAGCTCGGGGCAGGGGCCGGGCTGGGCAGTGCAGGGGGGTGGGCAGGGCAGCTGGCACGGGGAGCTCATCCTTCCACACCTCAGGGGAGCTGAAAGGAAAAGGGCAATTCCGTGACTATTCCCCCCCAAACATCAGACATTCAGCAAAACTCGGGTGGTTCTCTTGTTTTCCCGTGAAAACTTCCAACAGCAGCTTTTCCTTTCAGTGTCCATTTGCAGCCAAACGGTTTCAATGACGTTTTCTTGGGAGAGCAGCGGATTTGAGTCCCATTTTCAGGCTTATAAATGTCAAAATAATCCCTTCTCTCCTCCAGGTGGTTCCTCCTTGTCCTGGAACTCCTTTGCTGGGGATCCCCAGGGGTGCAGCCATCCCTGTCCTGCCCCTGCCGTGACTGAAAGCAGCGCCAGGCCGGACAGGTGAGAGCAAGCTGCAGTTGTGCAGGTTCCCCACGAGGCTGGACACGCTTACCTGGCACTCCAGAGATGCTGCAGCCCCTTCCCTGCTCGGCTGATCCCAACGGGCAGAGCAGTTTGGGCCAGAGGGGGTTTTTATCCCTCTCAACCCGGCGCTGGGACAACAGGAAGCGTTTTGAGGAGCATCCACGGGAACTCCAGCAGAGCCAGCAGGGAGGAAGGTTGGTGCTCCTCGGAACCCTTCTCCCCAAGGAGGTTGGGAGCCAAGAAATTCCCCTTTCCCAGGAATCTCTTCCAGTGGTGGGAAATTAGGACCAGCACTAGGCTGGGAGCTGCGGGATCCCAAAGGAACTTACCCAGCTCGGGATCAGCCAAGGCAGGACGAGCAGACCTTGGAGCTGGGCTGTGCCTGCTGTGTCCTCTGGCCTCGGGAGCTGAGGAGCCCCAGGCACCCAGACGGGTTCCCCGTCCCAAATCCGGCCTCGCTCCACCTCTGCCCCGTGATGGATTATTTGACTAATTATTTTTAATGGAAACCGCCTGTTTCCGTGGCTGGAGCACGACCTGGAGGGAGCTGGGCTGGCTTGGGAATCCACGTGGCCCCTCAGAGGAATTTGGGAAATGAGTGGACTCCCGGCCCGCTCTCAGGTGGTCACGGGGCGGTTTTGGGGTGATGGTCAAACACCCTCCAGCCCAACAAACACCTCATGGGGTCCATTAGAGACAGGATGGGATGTGGGATTTGGGGGATTCTTTTATTTTTAGCCATCTCTGACCTCCTTCTGTCCCTGCCCCTCTCCCCTTGGGACACGGTGCTGCTGGAAACTCTGGTGTCATCCCCTGTCTCGGGGGGTTTTGTGTTTGCTCCCGAAGTTCTGAGTCAAACAACGTCTCCACTGCCTTTGTCCTCGTGCAGGTACATCACTGAGGAGCAGGTGGGTGATGGAAGGAGCGACAACCCCCTTCTCATCCCTCTGGTTCACCAAAACCAGCCGAATTCCACCAAACCCGGTCCCTGTGCTCAGCAGGGAACTGTCAGCTTGGGTGGTCACAGATCCCAGATTTATCTATTTCTGCTTTATAACCCAAAGTCTCTGCACTGGACACACACCCTCAGAGGGGGAAGAGCAGACACAGGGACACACCTTGGTCTCCAGGTGAAACATTCCCTCACTTCTGGGTGCCAGAAATACTGGTCTGATGTTGTGTCACCGGGTGACTTCAGGCTGCTTTGCAGCGAGCAGGGAAGGAGGTTTCAGAGCCTTTGATCCCTCCCAGGGCTCTCCACTGGTTGGTTCTCTCTGATAAAGAGGGATTTTCAGGCAGGAACAGGAGCTGTGGGAGGTAGGAAGGCACAGACTGTCCCAGTTCCACACCAGTCACCATCTCCCACCGGGGACACTCACTTGGTGTCACCTCCTCCACCCCAGAGACGGGCCCAGCAAACCACCAAAGCACTGCCAGGGCCAGGGTGGGCAGAGCCCCAAACACAGAGGGTTCATCCCCCCTCACCCCCGAGGGACCACGGCAGGAGGAGCCCTGGAAGGAGCCAAAGTGACGCTGAAGATCCTCACAAATGTGGAGCTTTTGGTGCCCAGAGGCCAAAACCCCAACCAGTGGTTGGATCCAAATGAGTTGTGGGCACAGGAGCAGGGCAGGGGTTGTGTCTCTCTGTGCTGGGCACTGGGAACACCCAGTGCTGCCCCCAGGGCTGGGCTCCTCAGGGCAGGAGGGACAGGGAGGGGCTGGAGCGTGTCCAGGGAAGGGAACGGAGCTGGGGGAGGGTCTGGAGAACTCCTGAGGGAGCTGGGGGGGCTCATCCTGGAGAAAAGGAGGCTCAGGGGGGACCTTCTGGCTCCGGAATTCCCTGGCAGGAGGGGGGAGCCGGGTGAGGGTCAGGATCTTCTCCCAGGTAATGACACAGGACAAGAGGGAACGGCCTCGAGCTGTGCCAGGGGAGGGTCAGGTTGGACATGAGGAGGAATTTCCCCATGGAAAGGGTGTTCAGGCCTTGGAAGGGGCTGCCCAGGGAGGTTTGGAGTCCCTATTCCTGGAGGTGCCCAGGGAAGGACTGGATGTGGCACTGAGTGCTCTGGGCTGGGGCCAAGGTGGGGATGGGGCACAGGGGGTGCTGGATGTTCTTGGAGGGCTTTTCCAACCTCAGGGATTCCGTGGATTCTGGTTGTGCTGCCACACTGCCCTTGGCTGAGGAGAAGGGATGTTCTGGAGCTGCCCAGGGAATTTGGGTGCTCCCACGTGGCCTCTCAGTGTTCCAAAAACCCAACAGTCACAGGAGGGGTCTGTGAGTGCTCCCCCTCATCTGGCTCCTGTGGGACCACGCCTGGATGCTGTGCCCAGTTTGGGTCCCACAGCACCAGAGAGATCCCAACAGAATCTGGAATCTCCGGAGGGAGCCCAGGGGAGACCACTGAGGTTTTTCCAGAGACCTGGAGGAGAAGATGGGCTGGGAGAGGCTGAAGGATTTGCTCCCCCTGGAAAAGGTTTAGGGGTGATCCTTGCAGCTGCCTGACAGGTATTAATGGGGAGGCTCTTCCCAGGAATCCCCAGAGATGGGGGGAGAGGCACTGGCTGCAAGTTTGCAACGAGGGGAATCGTGACCAGATTTTTTAGGAACAAAACTCTCAGTTGGAGGAATCTCGTGTGTCTGGGAAGAACGAGGGAACTCCCACAGCAGAGGAGAACAAGATTCCAGAGTCCTGTGGGGCTGCCTCAGGAGGGGCAAGAAAATGCCCCCAAATAACTTTTATCCAAGCAAAGTTTAATCCCGAGGGGGGGGGGATTGTTTCCAGGCTGGATCATCGGCTCTTTGCTTCCCTCCCCTCCGTAGGAAATGCGTGGATGGGGAATTCCAGCAGTCATAGTGTCCCACCTGGGCAGCATTAAAAATTATAATGGAGGCAGAGTAATTGAAGGACTGGAGGTGGAACAGGTCTGGATTATTAAAAAATTGGATTTCCATACCCCTGAGGTGTCTCACTTCCGGAGCCACGGACGCCGGAATCGTATAAAAGGATTCATATTGTCAAGTCCCTCAAACCTTTGGGGTTTCATTTGGGTCTTTGCTGGTGCTGAGCTGGGTAAGTCTCGCTGGGTTTGCTGGGGAGTCACGGAGTGTTTGGGGTTATTTCAGTTCCAAGTGTGGCAGGAGCAACTTAAAAAGACTCTGAGGTGCTTCTGGTCGGTGAGATTTGTGTTGGGGGGGTTTATCCAGCAGCTGAGCTGGGGGTAAACATTAATTCCATCTTCTACCAGGCTTCATTTGCTGCATGTTTTGCTCTTTCTCCATCAAGATGTGTCCGAGAGTGGACCAGCCTCTCTCTCTCCCTCCCCGATGACTTTGCTCCCCTGTTCAACCAGGAAATTGTTGGCCTTGGGAGAGATCAAAAGGCAACATTAGGACTTCAAAGGGGAAAAGTGGGAGGGGAGATAAGAAGTGGAGACTTTCGGGCTGGGAGGGGAAGCTGTGCCTGGAAGGGAGTCTGGGGAAGAAGAGCCAGGACTTCTGTGGGAGAGCTGGGAAAGCAGCTGTGCTGGGAGCTGTGGGGTCCTTTCCCTGTGGAAGTTTTCCAGGATGGGACCCCCAGTCCCTCCTCTGGCTGAGGGGCTGAGCGGGGACAGGGCGAGGTCAGAACCTGAGTCGTCTCCTTTTTGGGTGGAAACAGGGAAGCAAAGCCAGAGATGAATCCCAAACCAAGGGGGCCGTGGGTGGCTGGGGGTTGTTGCTGTGTCTTCAGACCTTGCAGGATAACCTGGCTGAGCCCAAGGAACTTTTCTTTCCCGCCCTGAGAAGTGGTTTGAGAGCAGCCACAAACTCACCCTAAACGCTTTCCAGGCGAGTTCATTCCCCGCTGTGGGTTCCAGGCTGTTTTCCCAGCTCAGGGTTCCTCTGGAGAAGGGATGGTTTAGCTCTGGGTGTGAACCAGCCCCGTGAGGGCTGAATGCCTGTTCCTCACAGGATTTGTTCCTCTCCTGCTTCCAGCCTCCCCCCTGCCCTCCGAGATGCGTCGCCCCAGCGGTTGCCCCACGGCCCAGCTCTGCATCCCCCCCCCCCGCCGTCCTGGTGAGGAGCTTCCCCGTGAAAACCCCCCCGGATCCCCGTGGCACCGCCTGCAGCTTCCAGCAGAGCTTCTGTTTGCCTCCCCGTGGGAATCCCTGCAGGAACCCCCCCTGCTGCTGCTACACCAGAGTGCCCCAGGGCAGCACCACCTTCGTGAAGCTGGGCGGGCTGGGGCTGGCACAGCCTGCGGGGTGTGGGGGTCCCTGCGGCCTCGCCGTGTCCTCGGGGGTCCCTCCCTTCTGCCAGGGGGTGACCAGCTGCAGCACCACCTGTAGGGATCCCTGCTGCTCCCAAGGGACCACGTGCCAGGAGTCCTGCTGCCAGGAGGTGACCAAATGCACCACCACGTGTGTGGATCCCTGCTGTCAGGAAGTAACCAAGTGCACCACCACGTGCCAGGATCCCTGCTGCCAGGAGGTGACCAAATGCACCACCACGTGTGTGGATCCCTGCTGCCAGGAGGTGACCAAATGCACCACCACGTGCCAAGATCCCTGTTGCAAGGAGGTTACCAAGTGCACCACCACATGCCAAGATCCCTGTTGTGTGACCAGAAGTACCACCACATGCCAGGATCCCTGCTGCAAGGAGGTGACCAAGTGCACCACTACCTGTGTGGATCCCTGTTGCAAGGAAGTGACCAAGTGTGTCACCACGTGCCAAGATCCCTGCTGTGTGACCAGATGTACCACCACATGCCAAGATTCATGTTGTAAGGAAGTAACCAAGTGCACCACCACATGTCAAGATCCCTGTTGCAAGGAGGTGACCAAGTGCACCACAACCTGTGTGGATCCCTGTTGTCAAGAAGTGACCAAGTGCATTACCTCGTGCCAGGATCCCTGTTGCAAGGAGGTGACCAAATGCACCACAACCTGTGTGGATCCCTGTTGTCAAGAAGTGACCAAATGCACCACAACCTGTGTGGATCCCTGTTGCAAGGAAGTAACCAAGTGCACCACCACATGCCAAGATCCCTGCTGCCAGGAGGTGACCAAGTGCATCACCAGATGCCAAGATCCCTGCTGTGTGACCAGATGCACCACCAGGTGTGTAGATCCCTGCTGCCAGGAGGTGACCAAGTGCACTACTAAGTGTGTGGATCCCTGTTGCAGGGAGGTGACCAAATGCACCACCACGTGTGTGGATCCATGTTGTAGGGAGGTGACCAAGTGCATCACCACATGCCAAGATCCGTGTTGCCAGGAGGTGACCAAGTGCACTACTAAGTGTGTGGATCCGTGTTGTCAGGAGGTGACCAAGTGTGTCACCACATGTGTGGATCCATGTTGCAGGGAGGTGACCAAGTGCATCACCACATGCCAAGATCCGTGTTGTCAGGAGGTGACCAAGTGCATCACAACCTGTGTGGATCCCTGCTGCCAGGAGGTGACCAAGTGCACCACCAGGTGTGTGGATCCCTGTTGTCAAGAAGTGACCAAGTGCACCACCAGATGCCAAGATCCCTGCTGTGTGACCAGATGCACCACCCGGTGTGTGGATCCCTGCTGTCAGGGGGTGACCAAGTGCATCACCACCTGTGTGGATCCCTGCTGCCAGGAGGTGACCAAGTGTGTCACCACGTGCCAGGATCCCTGCTGTGTGACCAGATGTGCCACCCGGTGTGTGGATCCCTGCTGCCAGGAGGTGACCAGATGCACCACCAGATGCCCAGATCCCTGCTGTGTGACCAGATGCCCCACCAGGTGTGCGGATCCCTGCTACTGCAAGAAAGTGTCCAAGTGCTCTTCCAAGTACGTGGATCCCTGCTGCAAGAAAACAACCAAGTGCTCCCCGAAGTGTGGAGATCCCTGCTGCAAGAAAGGGGCCAAGTGCAGCAGCAGGTGTGTGGATCCTTGTTGCAAAAAAGTCACCAAGCGCAGCACGAGGTGTGTGGATCCCTGCTGTGAGAGGGTGACCAAGTGCATCACCACGTGCCAGGATCCCTGCTGTGTGACCAGATGTGCCACCAGGTGTGTGGATCCCTGCTGTCGACCTGTGACCAAATGCACCACTCAGTGTGTGGATCCCTGCTGCCAGGAGGTGACCAAATCCATCACCAGGT